ATGCTCGAAGCTGAAACTGATTAAGTACGTCTCGACTAAGGAAACTAGAAGACGATATACTGGAGGAACTTGATTTGTGAAATCTTGTTAAAGCAGTTGTAGATATGGTTCCGAGAAGAATAGATTTAGTTTAGATTTTTAACTGTTAAATACATGTATGCATCATCATAGCATGAATATTTCTTCTCAGACTTATTCTGTATCGTATGAAAAAGCAACGCAATTTTGAGAATGCGGAAATGGTGTCTCATAGAACCTAAAATGATTTAAATGTAACATTTCTGATCAAAATCAGATTGGGATCCCCCCCCCCCAGCATCACAGAGAGGAAATAAGGTGACACTGACCCCTCCTCCTATTTTTCAAGGTGACTTTTCCAATTTATTTAATTCCGAGTAGAAATGTCTGGAAAAATTCATGTCTTCGATGTACTTTATAATCTTCGGAATTCTGCTAGATTTCACCCCCAAAATGCATGAAATCGCAATTCAGGGACCATAGATTTCAAAATTTTCCGGACCCCAGACCCTCCTAGACGGTCTCACGACTTTGGTGTGAGGTCCGCCGCCCCCCTCCCCGGAAAATTAAGGTTTGGCTACGCCACTGGTTATAGCTGTACGATTATAGCTGCAAAGAGTTTAAGTTATTGTTTAAAGTAAAATATAGCTGAAGTTGATAAATTAAAGTTTTACAAAATCTCTCTTCAGACTCGCGCGTTCGCCAAACCTCGACGGCTCATATTTTTCGTTCTGCCTTTTTTCCCCCCCCCCCCCAGTGAAAATTTCTTAAAAAAGGCACTGCCCGGCACTCTCATTGTCTTGGGCAGAACCCTGGACCCTGTATGAACAGAGCCTAAAATTCCTCCCATTTGTGACAGGCAAATCAGCTCTGTAATGGAGGAAGATAATCTGAGTGACGAAAGTGGGAATATGGACGATTCTGACGATGATTACGAGGAACCAGTAGCCTCCACTTCCCAAGATTCAATTCCACACAACTTTGCTCAAAATGATGACATACCACAGCGGAAGAAGAAACGGAAGCGAAAAGAGGGTAGAAAACGCATCCGGAAAATCTTATCGCAACAACAACTTGATTCGGAAACTTTGAGTGCCCAAAAAGAAGAACAGGAGAGGTTACGACGTTTGGAATTGCAGAAAAGTTTGAACACTGTACCAACGGCTCGGATCACGCCACCTTTGAACTCACCAAATCTCGACACGGTTAAGGTCCCCGACAAGCCTGTGTTAGTCAACATTCCAAGCCAGGTTACAGATAAAGTCATCATGATTATTGACGATAGTGATGATGACTGTGATATTGTAGAGATGTCACCACGTCCTGTTTCGGGATGTGTTATTATTTCTGATTCTGAATCAGAAGAGTCTAACGAGGAAGATAACGAGGCAGACGAGGAGCCAGAGAATAGCGGCAGCCATACTAACGATGATGTCAATCAGCCTGATGCTCAAGGACGAGTCTTAGTGAATGTGAATCATCCTCCAAGCGAACCTGATATATTTCTTGCATCTCATCTTTGTACCTTGGTTAAACCTCATCAGGTATTGGAACTGTTGAAAAGGGCATTTTGCAATTATCTTAAATAATCATTTATGCTTTACTATAATAACAGAATATGTGGTTAGAATATACATCTGTCGTTCACCACAATGACCAAAGTTTTTGCAGTTGTCTAATTGTAATTTCATTTTGTTTTGAAATGTTTCAGAAACACCATTTAGCAATGAAATTTTTGATATAGTGTACTTGTATTTTGTCATGGTACAATTAAGTCTGATATCTAAGTCAAAAATCAGTTGCCGAAGTTGTGCGGTATTTTATAATTCGATTAAGTTTGCCACATGAAACGTTTGTTGTCTAAACCGGGCCTAACTTTGCATTTGTTGTCGTTGTTCTGGTTTTAGATTGGAGGAATAAGATTTCTTTACGACAATTTGGTGGAATCCTTATCTCGTTATCAAGCGAGTCCAGGTTTTGGCTGCATCTTAGCACATTCCATGGGACTCGGCAAAACATTGCAACTGATTTGTTTTATTGATGTGTTCCTCCAATTTACCAAAGCAACGAAAGTTTTGTGCATTGTTCCAATGAATACCATTCAAAACTGGTTCAATGAGTTCAATATGTGGTTGCCAGAGGCATCAGAAGCAGGTGAAACGAGTGAAGGATTGACGGAGGAAGGACAAGAGAAGCAAGGTCGGACATTTCAAGTTCTGTTGCTCAGTGAAAGTGTCAAAACCACTGTGGCTCGGTCAGCTTTAGTAGGTAATGTCTTATGAGAACCTGTTGTGTTTGATAGAGTCAAACTAGAAGCATCATTGTGATGGCGGCAAAATTAAAATCAGATTAAGTGTGTACATTGCAGGAATCAATGGACCTATTCCCTAATGAACAAAATTTTGATCTAGACAAGTCTAGACAAAAATTTCATCATAGCTTGAAAGAACATCGCAAAATTAGTAATTTACGTATCAATTTCCCGCGCGTAATGCAAAATGACTGAAAAACGGCAAACTTCGCAGGGCTATATTATCCGCATTTTACAACATTTCGCAACGAAACTTCGGAATATTACTAATTTTGTGATGCTCTTTCAAGCTGTGATGAAATGTTTGTCCAGACTTGTCTAGATCAAAATTTTGTTCATTAGGGAATAGGTCCATTCCTAGGTGCAGACGTAAAACTCGCGTGCCATTCACACTTCACAATAAAAAACTAATTTGTTTCTAGCCAAGTGGGAGAAGCAAGGTGGTGTATTGCTGATGGGGTATGAAATGTATCGCATACTGGCAATGTATACGCCATCACTGGTGAACAATGCTAAACTGACTGGGAGTAAGCGAAAGAGAACCAACCCTAACACAACTGAAGTTATTGATCTCGATGAAGAGGAGAAAAATATGGATCTCTTGCTCGGTAAATATCACAGACACTTTACACAATGTTGAGGATGTACATGTTAACTTGCCAAGACGTAGCTTGTATTCCTAAACATTGATAAACTGTTTGTAGCATTAATTTAGTGCTAACATTTAGGCACCCAGTATATGATGGACATTCCTTATCGAACATTCTGTATGTTATTGATATCTCTTTAGAAATTCAAAAATCTCTTTGTAAACCTGGTCCAGATCTTGTTGTCTGTGATGAAGGTCATCGTATTAAAAATAATCAAGCGAATATTTCTCAAGCTTTAAAGAAAATCCATACCAGGTACTGTACCTACAAGATTTAGTTATATACATGTATAGATGTGAAGGCACAGTCCCTCATAACTATGTTAACATATTTATAAAATCCTACTCTGAGTGTATATCCACACCAGGAAAAATCCTACTCTGAGTGTATATCCACACCAGGAAGACCACAACTGAGCTATGTGGTCAGATCGGTTCGATTACATTGATATCGAAGGAAATAGATTCTGTTCCGAAATATCACATACTCGAACCGATCTGACCACGTAGCTCAGTTGGCAGAACATTGGGCTAGTATTCCAAAGGTTGTAGGTTTGATTCCCACCGTGGTCAGGCATATTTTTCAAGCTTGCCCGGTGTGGATATACACTCAGAGTAACATCACAAGCATCATATTCACCTGAGTACATTACACCAACACAGAAACAAATCATGATTATAAGATTACATTGATATCGAAGGAACTAGATTCTGTTCTGAAATATCACATACTCGAACCGATCTGACCACGTAGCTCAGTTGGCAGAGCATTGGACTAGTATTCCAAAGGTTGTAGGTTCAATTCCCACCATGGTTAGGCATATTTTTCAAGCCTGCCCGGTGTGGATATACACTCAGAGTAACATCACAAACATCTTATTCACCTGAGTACATTACACCAACACAGAAAAATCATTACTAAATATTTATAAAAATTATTTTCCTTTTTTTATTTTGTCAGGCGTCGTGTAGTCTTGACTGGTTATCCATTACAAAACAATCTCATGGAATATTGGTGCATGGTAGACTTTGTTCGACCAAACTTCCTGGGAACGAAACACGAGTTTTCAAACATGTTTGAAAGACCGATTGTTAATGGGCAATGTGTGGACAGCACAGCTTCTGTAAGTTTTTATGTTGGAAACTGGAATGCCATCCTCTGTAACTTGCAATTAGTATCATGTTTCATTCGCTACTCTGGTTTAAATAAATGATTACAAACCCCAGTCGAATTGTAATCAAGACCCAACTTCGACAGGGCTTTGTAATCATTTATTTAAACCAGAGTAGCGAGCGAAACATGATTGATATACCTGGTTGCAGTGAACGAACAAACTTTAAATTGCAATGAGTAGTTTGCTCCAAATTTCTTACTTTGGTTTGAACAAAACTTTTATTCCAGGATATCAAATTGATGCGTTTCCGAGCACATGTCCTGCACAGCTTATTGGAAGGCTTTGTACAAAGGTAAATCATTCGGAATTGTACTTCAGAATTGTGCCAGTTTTATTATGTAGTTGATGTAAAATCTATTGTATTTTTTTATGTGTTTAGGAGAAGCGAGGCAATCCTCACAAAGACGTTGCCGCAGAAGGAGGAATATGTGATTCATGTTAAAATGACGTCCATTCAAATGTCTTTGTACAAATCATATGTGTCGTCCGTCAAGAATTATGTTGGATATATCAATCCTATTAAAGCATTTGGAATATGCATTAAGGTATGGGGTTATATTACGTATACTATGTTTGCTGAACATACACATTGTTCTTGTTCAATGGGGTTGCAAGTTTCCAAATGTCTTCAATTTTGTGTGTTTTTATTACGTACTGGTGTCATTTTCTCAATTTATTTTGCCAGATTTGGAACCATCCTGACATTCTAAAGAGTTACCTGGACAGTAGGAAAGAAGCGAACAGAAACGACTCTCCTCTGGTGAGTCAGATTGAAAATGTATAGGATTATTTTTATACTGCTCCCATTGTATGTTTTCTATCATAATTGATGTTTGTGCTTTACAGTAGTTGTGGAGACTGATGGGGACTGATGAGGACCGACATACTCTAAACATTATTAAAATTATTCAGGGTGTCCAAAATCCGGCATCTAATGTACTTGAGACAAGAACGACGTTAAAGACATTGCTAGACTCAGTGAAACAAACTCTATTTATTTCAGACTGTATGTGACCCTGACCTGGACATTGGAGTCACTTTGAGCAAGAAAACAAAAGAGCCAAAGAATGACGTCAGACTGCAGCCTGGGTCTAGCTCGGAACCCACGTTAATTCCACCTGATTTGAAAGCAATGGCTAACTCTTCTGACTGGGTATGGATTTCATTATTTATATAAGGCCGTGTAGGTTCATAAAATAAGATGGTGCTACTTACAACGGACAGAATTTCTTTCCATTTACGTTGTAAGAAAGTTTGTAAAATCTACTGTTGTTGTTGAAATTGGCAAAAGTGGTCCGTGATGTTTTAATCGGTACCGTATGGTAAAGTGGTTTTAAATATCCCCAAGAGTTGCTGAAATAACTTTAATTAGTTAATATTTTAATGTCAGTGCGCATTGTGAGCGTGTGCTCGCCTTGTATTTGGTTGCAAAGCATAGAACAACCACAGGCATTGTCCGTTGTTGTAGAACCGTGAATTTGGCTATTCAAGGTAATTGACATGTGCACACCCTGGTCATTTAGAAACACGCCCAAGATCTAGAATCCTAGCTAAGACCATGTACGTGGCATATAATAATACTTGCAGGCATTTGTCTATGATGCAATTGCATTTCCTGAAAAACAAGAAGAACAAATGTTGATGGTTGATGTCAAAAGTCTATAACTGAGCTTTTTTGGCCACGTATCAACAGGGGGGATTGTCAATAGACTTCGCTGACTTAAATTACCTTCAGCATGTCCGGTGGACTTCATACCGTACAACATTCAATAAACTGTTGAATAAACTGTTCCTATTATTTTGCGGATATTGGAAATCCTTGGTAGGCATTGAAATTCTGCACGGTGGATTGTATTAATTCATCTGTTTACCAGGTTGGTGACTTGATGGACAATTATGAAGCTGGTGTTTTACAACATGGTGCGAAAATGGTCTTGTTGATGGAAATCATTGAGAAATCTGTACAACTGGGAGATAAAATGCTCGTATTCAGGTGAGGATATTGTTTAAAGTGTGACATTTTCTTGTGCCCTCGTATTTCATATTTCTTCATCGTGTTTGTTCTATTTCAGTCAAAGTTTATCGACGCTCAGCATTATTGAAGATTTCCTGAGGAAACGTGTTGTTCCGCCATGGCCATCTCAACTCATCTTTCAACCAGTTCATTGGGAGAGAAACAAAAATTATTACCGTAAGAACCAGTTGGAATGCCATGGAAATACAAGAATTATGTAGAATATAGTTGTAGTTCAACTCTTTTTAATGTATTTATCACTCTGAGTAGTTTATACTCGAATTGGGATATAATTCTTGGTGGATAAAGGGCTCATGATAATTTTCATTGTTGTTTAGGTTTAGACGGTGGTACTTCGTCACAAGAACGTGAGAAATTGATCACAGCTTTTAATTCAAAAACCAACAAGTCTGTTTTTCTTTTCTTGCTGTCGACAAGGTGATGCTTATTATTAATGCGTCGTCTGATTCAGTTCAAGCTGTGGGATAGCAGAAGCATCTCAGTAATACTGACACATTCTAATTATATATTTATTAACACATTCGGTAACATACATGTACAACTTACCCATGTGGATGGTTAGGTGCATTGGGTGGGAGGCCTGCCGTTTGTATACCATTACTTATTCAGCCGACAGGTCAAGCTTCCAAGTATTGACCTGACCACCCGTTTGCACCTATCACACCGAATTACTCGGTGGAACGCAAACAAACGATGAAGAATTAAGAATCAGAGTAACCAGAAATGTTTTTTTTTCTAGCTTGCGCTTACAACTGCTTGTGCTTCCTGCCTTTAACGCCTAGGTTCGGCCCATGCTCCTCCGCTATGTTACCTTGTTGTTAACCTTGCTTATTGCATAACCTCATTTATTTGTATAGAGCATGTAGTCTAGGTGTTAATTTGATTGGTGCAAATAGAGTGGTTATATTTGATGCTTCCTGGAATCCATGTCATGATGCACAGGCTGTTTGTAGGTAAGAGATATTGAAAACATCAAGAAACTGCCTGAAGGAACTAGCTTTCCAAACACTATGGCTTTGTTCATATTGGATAGCTCCACCAGTTCTAAACTGTTCTTCGTACAAGTCAAGTAAGGACTTTTTCGTATTGGCGCGGTGCTACTACAGGAGGGTAAATAAACTAAACTAACGTTTTAACGTAGAACTCCAGTAAGTGCCATATTTTATTGGTCCAGTGTTACTACACTACAGCCTATTGAGTCAAACTTGAAGCTCTCCATTTGTAACTGGAGTGAAATTCTAATCAGACCAAAGCATATTGCATGAATCCAATTTTGCTTTCTGTTGCATTGTTAGAAATAATAAAATCTATTTCTTAACCCCGGAATTGATTGATGTTATTTGGCATGATTTAGAATCTACAGGTACGGGCAAACAAAGAGATGTTTTATTTATCGTCTGGTCAGCCATGGAACGTTTGAGAAACGAATGTATGAACGTCAGGTCACCAAGGAAGGAATGTCAGGTACTGTGAAGGAATGATTATTGAAAAATAATTAACTTTGCATGGCATCGCTCATATTTCTCAAAAGTGGTTCTTCTTTTAATCATTTGAATTTTCCCTAGATCGTGTTATTGACGAATTAAATCCTGAAGCAAATTTAACGAAACAAGAAGTTATGCATCTCTTCAAAGAAGTACGATTTTTACAGTGTAACATGTTGTTACAAACCCCTTTGATCCCCTCTATAGATTATGACATCCTAAAATCTTGATTGAACAAGATATTTTTCTTTAAAAACAGGGCAGTGATGAGGAGGACGATGCTCTTGTTATTTCATCAGATGCTTTTCCGGATGTCGTTTTGAATCATGTTTGTAGAACATGTCAGAAATCTATATTTGAGGTAACATTTGTACTGAACTATTTTTACTGGATAGCTTTATCAGTTGCAAACTGCTTTCCCAAGAGGTCCAGTAGAAGTCATCTTGGAGAAAACCTAAACAAAACTATCGTTTTATCTTTTTTTAGATTCCATTTAAACATAAATTGCAATCTTCACATAAACCAAAGAACATTCTCACAAAAGCCGAAAAACGCGAGGCAAAGAAAGGTTCTAGACAAATCTTTTTCACTGTATCTTGTCGCGATATACCAGATACTTCTTTGTATGCATGATTGTCTGAAGATAATGAAATGCAATTACAAGTAATACTCAACTGTATAAATTTGTATAGGTTACGAACGTGAGAAGCGCGCAAGAAATTCTGCAAATAAATACAACTCTTCATCTACGACCTGTTCTCCACTGGTCAGGTATGTCTACAGGCTTATTTATACTTATATTATAAACTACTTAAAAACTGACTGAGATGTTTAGCTAGTTATCTCTGGGTGACTTACATTCTCCATTATACATGTACTTCATACTAATGTCAATATAATCTCAAATCGTAATATCAATAGAAATCTATGTTTCCTGCCCTTACGCTAAAGCAAATACGAATAACAGTTTAAAGGCTCAAAATAGTTGATTCTTAAATCACAGCTTTTTCATTCTTCCTCCTTGTAGAGAGCAAATAAGAAAAGATATAACCAACCGTCCTATTGGTCATGTCAAACCAATACAGAATATTCAGGCTAGTTCCAGTTCTCTTGTAAGGCCTCCTTTATCCCTTCCTGCTCCACTTCAACCCCCAGTAAACCCATTTAGATCCAATCTACCCTCGATGGCCCTCATGGCAGGCATGACCTTTCCGCCACTTCTCAATAACAGGTATGGATGGTGGTATGTTGGGATTGTACTATAGTCTTGTACAGATTGTATTGTTAGTCTGCAACAGTTTACGAACAGACTTAGAAAATTAATGGATATGTAGGTCAAGATAATTTTATAATTTATTCGTTGTTCTTTGTAGATGTAATGTAATGTAAAATTTAGGGAATATATATATATATATATATATATATATATATATATATATATATATATATATATATATATATATATATATATATATATATATATATATATATATATATATATATATATATACAGGGTGTATCAAAATAAACGCAGTTCATCTTTTGTGCTTAATAACTTTCGAAATACTATTTCTAGTTAAACGCTTTTAGGCTTACTTCAAAGCCTGTTCTTTTCTCTTTCAAACAAACTATTATCCTTGTCTCCAAT